AATAATTATTTCAGACAGGGTTCATTGATTTATGCTAATAACATTATGTGAAAGATTGGGAACAAAATACTCTAATCTGAAATAATTGCCTCTACAGATTACTTGTTAGTTACAAAAAAAAAAAAAGGTATATTTACAAAGTAGAAAATTTGCAGACACTTTTTTAATCAAGAGATCAAAATTACTGTCACTAAATACAGAACATGAGATCACGTGCTTCCTGATACGTATATACACTGTGAAGGATACAATATCACCTATATATTACTCCTGCTGTAAGTATTTGACCTGAACCTAATCATGAAGAAGAAAACAACTCTTAATTTAAAAAACATTCTGCAAATCCTCTGAGACAGATTCTTTGAAAATAGCAATGTAATGAGAAGACAAAAAAAATTATTTAATGTCTAGGAAACTTTTGTGAATTAAAGAAGACCAAATAAACATGCAAACTAAATATCAGCTATGATTCTCAATTGGGTCTGGATGAGGAAAATTAAACATCATAAAGTTAATTGCAGGAGCTTGGAAAATATGAATATGGATTGCATATTAAATAAAGTGCTAAGTAAGAGTTAAATTTTCTGAACGAGATCACTATATTGTATTTATACAGGAGGATATCCTGCTTAAGAGATAGGAGGTTCATACATTTAATAATGAAGATACAGCAAATATGGGAAAATGTTAAAAGTCATTGAATTAAAGAGAAATGTATGTGGGTATTCCTTGTACAATTTTTGTAACTTTACCATAAGTTTGCACTTTTTCAAATAAAATGTTTGAAAAATTACAATAATTTTTATCATAATGTGTAATAAAAAAGGTCAAAAGTTAAAAAAAAAATTTTTTTTTCAAGGCAGAATCTTGCTCTGTCACCCAGGCTGGAGTACAGTGGCCTGATTCCACCTCAATGTAACCTCTGTCTCCTGGGTTCAAGTGATTCTCATGCCTCAGCCTCCTGAGTAGCTGGGATTACAGGTTTACACCACAAGACTCAGCTAATTTTTGAATTTTTAATATAAACAGGGCTTCCCCATATTGGCCAGGCTAGTCTTGAACTCCTGACCTCAAGTGATCCACCCACCTTGGCCTCCCAAAGTTCTGGGATTATCATCCCCAGGACAAACTTAGTCACTCAATGAGCATCATTTTTCTTTGTAGTTGGATAGCTAAACAAACAAAACAGGCAAAAAGCCCTTCCTTTGTAGAACTTCCATTCTTTCTCCTTATTTCTGAGCTTCCTTTGTTCTTTGGGTGAGGGTGGGGAATGGTAATAAGTATCGGATTTGATATTTTGTAGTCTCTTTCTCCACTACATGCAATTATTTCGGATGCATGAATTTGTTTGCTTTGAATAGATATATGTTGGCTAATTTCTTCCACCTAGAGCTTTATAAAAATATTATAATAAAAACACTAGCCAACACCACTTATGCATAGTTCCTAACAGAAAATGGCTCTATTTGTTCTGTCTCTTGTATTATTACAGACCTAAAGCAGGACATCAATGAACTATTTATTACTTTCAAAACATTCTAAGTTGTGAGGTTGCTTTGGCTTTTCCTTCTGAGATTAGGAATAAAATATCTATTTTGGATTTTTTTTTAAAGGTAGTCCTTAAATTGTCTTTGTTTGCAGGATGTGTAGGCTCTACCTTGTCTGTCTAAATCTAAAAAGAGTAATTGCAGCGTTATTAATGGCCATGTATCGCCCCCAACAGAAAATAAAATATAAAATCTTAATTTAAAAATAGTAAAGTTTTTTGTATACCTTTAGATATATGCCAATTTAACAGACTCAAAATTAAAGTACATGAGAATTTTAAAAAATAGAATTAGCAGGAAATAATTGAATAACACACATTTATATGTCTTTATAACTGGTAATGGGTCAGATAGACTATACTTCTCTAAACACCGCATATTGATTTTTAATGTTGCTTAGGCTCTAATTTCAAATTCAGAGTCAGATGAAAGGTTAGTTGCTTTGTTTTTCTACGCATTTTTAAAAATTTAATCGTTTGCATTTATTAACACTAATAGGTAGTGTTTTTTGTTGCTGTTGATGCTACCCGTTCAGAAGAAGCGGGTAATTATTCAGAACTGTCTAGATTTTCACTGGGTTTGGTTTTGTCATTTAATTATCTATGTTTATGTGTGTAGGTATTCGGGTGGTATGGAGAGGAAAGAAAATTTGAAATCTACCTGTTTAAAATATTTTTCTTATTATTTTTATACAAGTCCCTCTCAATGAAAATCTGCCTCTGTCAAACACATTTGTTAGTCAAAACAACTTTAATGGTCAGAAGAAGTTACAAAGAAGAAAAGTGGACATTTCTATATTTGTTTTTAATGAGATACCTTAGAAAGTTAAGAAACTTGAGGTTGCAAAAGAGAAGCAAGGTATAACTGTGAAGAGGATACTGGGTTTGATTTCAAATAAGGGAGATGAGGGAAAATGGAAGATTTCTTAACTCAACAGAGAAAATGAAATTTAAATTTACCAAAATCAGTAATAAGGTAGAAGTGAGAATGAAGTACCTTCAAAGCTAAAGAGAAAAGTGTTTAAAAGTTCATTTTAAAGTAATAAAGAGATGAGGAGTTACTGGATTTGTGTGAGAAAGAGCAAATACTTTTATAGTTTTTAAATATTATAGAAGAGAGGAACAAATTTGAGCAAATAAAATTAAGAAGAAGCTTTCTTTCATTTTATTATTTGTTAATTACCAAGACAATGGGGAAAATATATTCAGGACATGCCAGAGACCTTTATGGCCGTCCCTCCCATCACAGGCCCAGAGGCCTAGGAGAAAAAAAAAATGTTTTGTGGGCCGGGACCAGGATCCGCTGCTATGTGCAGCCTAGGGTCTTGGTGTCCTGTGTCCCAGTTGTTTTAACCATGGCTAAAGGGGCGAAGGCACAGCTCAGGTCATGTCTTCAGAGGGTGCAATTCAAAAAGCCGTGGCAGCTTCTACATGTTGAGCCTGAGGTACACAGAGGTCAAGAACTGAGATTTGGAAATCTCTGCCTAGATTTCAGAGGATGTATGGAAACACCTGGATGTCCAGGCAGAAGTTTGCTGCAGGGGTAGCGCCATCATGGAGAACTTCTGCTAGGGCATTGCAGAAGGAAAATGTGAGGTTGCAGCCCCCACACAGAGTCCCCACTGGGACATTCCCTAGTGGAGTTGTGAGAAGAGGGCCACTGTCCTCCAGACCCCAAAATGTTACATCTACCAACAGCTTGCACCACGCACTTGGAAAAGCCACAGGCACTCAATGCCAGCCCATGAAAGCAGTCAGGAGGGGAGCTATACCCTGCAAAGTCACAGGGGTGGAGTTTCCCAAGGCCATGGGAGCCCATCTCTGGCATCAGGATGACCTAGATGTGAAACATGGAGTCAAAGGGGATCATTTTGGAACTTTAAGGTTTAATGCCTACCCTATTGGATTTTAGAATTGCATGGGCCCGGTAGCCCCTTTGTTTTTGCCAATTTCTCTCATTTGGAAATGGGTGTATTTACCCAATACCTGTACCTCCTTGTATTTAGGGAATAACTAGCTTGCTTTTGATTTTACACACTCCTAGGCAGAAAGGATTTGTCTTGTCTCAGATAAGCCTTTCGGCTGTGAAATTTTGAGTTAATGCTGAAGTGAATTAAGACTCGGGGCACTTTTGGGAAGGCATGATTGGTTTTGAACAATGTGAGGACATGAGCTTTGGCAGCGGGAAGGGGCAGAATGAAATGGTTTGGCTGTGTCCCCACCCAAATCTCATATTTAATTATAGCTCCCATAATTCCCATGTGCTGTGAGAGGGACCTAGTGGGAGTTAATTGAATCATGGGGGCAGGCCTTTCCCATGCTATTCTCATGAAAATGAAAAAGTCTCACGAGATCTGATAGTTTAATGAAAGGAAGTTCCCTTACACAAGCCCTCTTGCCTGCCACGTTGTTAGATGTAACTTTGCTCCTCTTTCACCTTCCACCATGATTGTGCAGCCTTCCCAGCTATGAGGAACTGTGAGTCAATTAAACATCTTTAGAAATTATCCAGTCTACAGTATGTCTTTATCAGCAGTGTGAGAACAGACTGATACATAAATTTAACCCCCAAAAAAGAGCTCTTTAATGAAGAAATTTATATATCATGAAATTAATCCTATTCCTGAAATCTTTACTGTGATGACTGGGGACCTCTAGCCAGGTTCCTTACTTACATCATTTGGAATTATTTTGCCTCCGTATAAGACTAGTTTGAACTTACAGTGTTGAGTTTACAAGTTTTCAAATATGTGCAAAATATATGTAAGTGTATTAATGATTAATGGTTAGATGCTTATAAAATGGTGACTCTAACAAGCTCCATTAAGTAGAGAGACATGCAATCACTGCATTCCGTCAAGAGATGGTGCCATTTATGCACAATAATGCACATTCTTCAGTTTATTATTTGATATAATAAATTGTAACAATTTTCCAAAAGTGTTTATATAAAAAATAATTAGCCTGCATGTTTTAGTAAGTTGTTTGCTTTCAGTAATTATTTCTTTCTGAGCAGATATTTTTTGGTGTTTTATTTTGTTATATTTATTGGCTACTATTTCAGATAGAAACAGCTTGTTACTCAGAAAGAAACATCAACAAGGGAAGACACCTTTCCCGCACAAAAAATTTATTCCAGCTGCGTTTTAATTCGAAGTCAAATAAAGACAAAGGTAAAAAGAAAAGCTACAAACTGTCCTAGGTGAATCATCGGAGTGTCAACTAGCCTGGTCAGGGGCTCCTGTTAAACTACAGATATTTGATAGGAATTGTTACTTTAACTGTGAGAAAATGGATTCCTAATGATACTTTTTGCTTTTCACTCTGGGTTAGCTTCTCATCAGTCCATAAATGCCCATACCTGGTTCTGTCAACGTTTTTGGTTTTCAGATTATGTGCTTTATGAGGCAAAACATAGCAACACAAACATTTTAATTGCCTCCATGTTTTACAACCTCAACTGCTGTATTTTATATAAAGGCCACAAAATGAATATTGTTATTGATGAAAATTGGGTTACCCTGAGGACTCTTGCTTAACTGAAATCGCAAATGGAGCAGACGGAAAAATCAAAAGTATATGCTGAGAAAGGTGAGTAAAGAGTGAACTCCTCAGAGCAGTAATAATTTTCATTTCTAGAGGCCAGAAATAAGAAAAGAGAAAGGGATTTTTTTCTTCATTTGGGAACTTTGATTTCCAGTGTCAGTTTAACACAATACAAGTAATATAAGTTTAAAAAATAAATAGTGTTAGTTACTTAGGAAAAAAGTAGTTTGTATGAGGGACTCAAAATGGTTTTTAAATATTACTATATGCTAGAATCTGGTTTTGTTTGTTTTGTTTATTTTGATTTCTATTTATCATGGGCCTGCGGGTTCTTTTTTAAAATAAAATAAAACTTGTTCAATGTTCCTCAAATGCTTCTATGTTGATCAGCAAGCTCTACCAGTCATAATTACACTGTATATACTTCAGTCAGGAAAGTCAGAAGTTTCTGCTTTGCAAACTGGTGGACCATTTATTAAACCAATTCTAATCTTCCTAACAGTCATACATTCACCTAAAACATTAATACAAAAAAAGCTCTATTAAAACACTAGAAAATAGCAGATAATACTCCAGCAACTCCAAACCAATTGTCAAGGATTAGATCTATATTATGTGGGCTGATTTTTGACAGACAAATTTGACACTTATTTATTTTTGGGTAATGCTTGCAACCAGCCAGCCATACTTTGCTTGTCAGTAACTAGTCAGTAGATTAGTCTTTCCCTTCTAATAGCTTTGATCCCTATTGTAGGAAGGGAACAAGTTATCCAGAGACTGAGTTGTTCTTTTATCAGAGTAAAATATTCACATATGTTTGCAAGTCATGACTAAATACACAAAAGAGCATATTTAATTATATTTTGCTAATGAGTAACAATAACTTTTTTCTTGTTTTTGATTTTTCTCTGAAATTATGCCAGTTACTTGATACATGTTCATTAATTTTATACTAAAAAAATTAATGAGGGTGCTATTCTAAGATTTTAATCCAATGTCCAGCTAGTCATATTGATACAAGATCTCTTGCTGAGTGAATAATAATCATAATATAATTTGTAAAAATAATCATAATATAATTTGTGAGTGAATGAAATGGACTTCCTTAGAAATGTTAATAGACACCTTTTTATAGCATATGTCCCATAACTAACTAGAAAGCTTAGCTAATTAGTTATTTATGTTGTATTAAATAATGATTTAAAAATAAGTGGAGATTTAAACTTCTTATGAGTAATAACACTTTTTGAATATAGGTATTCAAGTAGTATTATTTTGAATATAGGTCATACATTCAATAGTAGTATTGAATATAGGTATTCAAAAAGTATTATTTTTGGCAAAGGATATAAAAGTTAATTCACCCAATTATGAACATATATAAAGCCATTAAGTACTAATTTTTTTATTATACTTTAAGCTCTGGGTTACATGTGCAGAATGTGCAAGTTTGTTACACAGGTATACACATGCCATGGTGGTTTGCTGCACCCATCAACCCATTATCTACATTAGGTATTTCTCCTAATACTATCCCTCCTCCTAAACCCCACCCTCAACTGTCCCCGGTGTGTGATGTTTCCCTCCCTGTGTCCATGAGTTCTCATTGAATAACTAATTTTTAAGATTATTTTAAAGTATTTTAAAATTCCTGAATATTTTACTATTTACCACATCACACTAAATTAGCAGAATAATAAAAATATCTAATATCCTTAAGTACTTATCATGATCTAGATAATGTGCTACACTCTCTCCAGGTATTATCATATTTAATACCACAAACTCATAAGCCAGATACCATTGCTGCCATTTGACAGAAAAGGTATAAGACTAAGAAACCTGGCTAAAATTGTGCAGATTATAAGAGGAAAGGAACGGGCCAGAAGCGTGATCTTCCATTGTGAAGCCCATCTCATGCTCTTAACTGTATTGCACCTTTCCCTCAACAGAGAAATTCTTTGCCTCTTCTCCTGTGAACAAATGGAAAGAAATTTCATCAAAATGAAATTCTGAACATATTATATATTGCCAAAAAATATAGTGCTACCTTCCCTGGTTCTTACCAATGAATATCGATAAATATTATTGATTGATTCCTGATAGACTTGAAAGGATGAATTCATTTCCTGAAGAGGTTGAAAATAGATTACTTAACTAATACTACAACTGAATACTAAACATTCTGACTAAACAAGGAACAAGAACTAAAATAATTGTACATTAAAGAATACAAGAATGAAAGTTACATTTACCATAAATTATACCATCATAGGACAAACATTAGTTAAGAACAAATTACTTCTAGCCACACTTATGACTATCAAAGGAATAAACCTGATTTTGTTCATGACTTCTAGAGGACTTTCGGAGAGAAAGAGCATTTTAAAAATAAGAGTTAATATTTAAAGTTTATGAGTTGTTGTAACCAACCCATTGATTTTAAAGCTGGAAGTCAAATATTAATACCATGCTATTAACACATTTAATAATAGGCATTCTATAAATAGCATTAGCATCTTCTCTATAAAGTCATGTAGCCAACACTTACACTTCTTCATTCCTGAATAAATCATGCAACAAAAGATGAATATTTAGTTTCTATGAATTAGACATAAAAAGAGTCACATGTTTAAATTTATGTAAGTTGTGTTTTTTTTACAGATAGTATTAAGGTTTCATAACTAATTACTTTTTTTGTTTAATTATTTTATGGGCAAAACCTTAAGGATTCTTAGAAAAGATAAAGCTTTGCCTTTCAAAGAAACCGCTGCCATCTCCCACTGACCGAAAGAAGTTTGACCATGACTTTGCCATCTCCACTTCCTTTCATGGGGTACACAATATTGTTCAGAACCAGAGCAAAATTCGCAAGGTGCTCTGGTTGGTGGTGGTCCTGGGCTCAGTCGCACTTGTGATATGGCAGATCTACAGTCGCTTGGTCAACTACTTCACATGGCCAACCACAACATCTATTGAGGTTCAGTATGTGGAAAAGATGGAGTTCCCAGCTGTAACATTTTGTAATTTGAACAGGTAAAAATTACTTTTTAAAAAATAATTTGTTTGTATAAATTTACTAGCCTAATCTTTCTTGGATGACTGACAAAAAATTTTCTCATGTGGAAATTAACATAGTAAAACCACTGGAGTTCTTAAATTGCACTTAAAAGTACAAATTTAAGGGAGCAAAGAAGTTTATTAATTTCTTCTTTCACTTATTTTCTGTCTTTTCTTTCTTCCTTCCACAATTGTATTCTAGGTAACATTCCAAATCCTGTCATTAAATAGATGTAAAAGAGATGGGGTTTCACTACATTGCCCAAACTGTTCTCAAACTCCTGGGTTTAATCAACCCACTCGCCTTGGCCTCCCAAAGTGCTGAAATTAGAGATGTGAGCCACTGTGTCTGGCCCGATGTAAACAACTTGATCCCTGCATATTAGAAGTTCATTAATTAGCAGAAAAGAGAAACGTCAACAATCACAATGCAATATAGTAATTACACAGTAAAATAAAACAATGTGCAAGGGCTCTGAAATCCTACAGATCAGATTAATAGTCTACATCTTGGATGTTATGGAAATCTTCTGGGTATTTAAAGATGACTAGAGCTTTCTAAGTGGCTTGAAGAAGAACTGGAAGAGAGAACTCTTGTGCAAACACATAAAGATACAAAATTTTCTAGTGTACCTGATGAGCTATTTAACATAGTAGAGGCAAGGCTAACTCCATGAGTCTGTGATCAGTGCAGTTGCACAGAGCCCTGAACTCAGAAGAGAGTTACATTTGATTCAATGATCTACTGCCACTGTCTTGAGTCCTTGATTGCAACTCATTCCAGAAAACTGTAGTCCATTGACTGTACAACAAATCTTCTTAGAGGAGAGCAACTGGCCAACACTAGGCTTCAGGCAAAGCTTTGTAATTGCCTGTGGTGAAGCCTAAAAGATCACACATAGGATTTTTGCTGGGAAGGGAAGGCTTCTTAAGACACATCACTTAGTTATTAGGCAAGTCGCTCAGCCTTCTTAGTGTTGATTTTTATATTTAGAAAATGAGATAATATCATCTTCTTCTTACATTTATTGTTACATCAGATAAGGTGATAAGTATTCCATTGCGTTTCACTCCTATGGGGACTTCTAGAACTGGTGCTCAATATATAGTAGATGTTATAGCTTATTGGTATGATTGTCAGTATTTCAAGAACTCAAGATACGTGTCAAGGTCATAAAAAGTCAAAACAAATCAATCTTTTCCCCCAAAAAAATCATTTTCAATACTATTGCCTCATACTATTTTAAGTAGCATGTGTTCTAACAAAAACAACGATTGGTTGCAGTTATCCTTGATTGAAAGAAAATGTAGACATTACTTCCAGAATTGCAAAGCGAGGAAGTCCATACACTCTATCTCCTCCAAAACTAACCATAACTGGTGAAAAAATATTTATTTTAAAAAGCAAACTTTTCTTTATAAAAGCAAACATTTAAATAGTACCTTCAAATTCAAGTCTTCTGGAACCTCAGAGTGATCCAAAACCAACCATAACTGGTGGAAAAATATTTATTTTAAAAAGCAAACTTTTCTTTTAAAAAGCAAACATTTATATAGCATCTCCTCAAATTCAAGTCTACTGGAATCTCAGTGTGATCATATTTAAAAATTAGGTCATTACAAATATAATTAGATAAGTTAAGGTTATACTGCATTAGGATGAGCCCTAAATCCAAAGACTGAAGTTCTTATAAGGAGAGGAGAGAACACACAGAGATACAGCAGAAAAAGACCATGCGAAATAGAAGTAGAGATTGATATAATCCTGCCACAAGCCAAGGTATATTTAGGACAAAAGGTATAAGACACAGAGAAAACAAAAAGTAAAATGGTGGATGCAAATCTAACTATATTAATAATTAAATTGGAATGGATTAGACAATCCAATCAAAAGGCAGAGGTTACAGAATAGATTATTTTAGAAAGATCCAACAATATGCTGTGTATAGAAGACACAATTTAGATTTGAAGATGCAAATGGGTAAAAAGTAAAAGAATGGAAAAAGGTATGTCAACCATCAGAAAGCTGGAGTAGATATCCTAATCTCAGACAAAGTAGACTTTAAAGCAATATATGTTACTTGACATTTAAAAAATGCTCATTTTATGTTGCATAAATGATCAGTCTATTAGGAAGATATAAGTTAACCTACATAGTTAGATTTTTCAATACCCCACTTTCGGTAATAAATAGAATAAATTGATAGAGAATAAACAAGGAAATAGAAGACATAGAAGACTTAAATATCCTTGTAAACCTACTAGACTTTGCAAACATCTTTAGAACACTCTACTCAACAACAGCAAAATATGCATTCTTCTCATGTGCACATGGCACATTCTCTTAGAATAGACCATCTACAAGGCCACATACAAAATAAAATAGGTTAAAAATATTTTAAATTATTCACTTATCAATCACAATAGAATGAAATTAAGGGTCATAATCAAAATAAAATTAGGATATTCACAAATGTGTATATATTAATCAATGCACACCTAAATAACAAACAAGTCAAAGACGATATCCCAAAGAAAATTAGAAAATACTTTGAGATGAATGAAAATGAAGACACAACACACCAAACCAGTGCTAAACCAGTGCTTATAGGGAAAGTAGTAACTATAAACAGCTAAATTAAGAAAAAGATGTTCAAAACTCTCTAATAGCCTATGATCTAAGTACTTTTATAACTTTTGGTCTGAAAACCTAATCCATTTTGCATAACTCAAATCTCAAATCAATGATTACAACTTTTGCCTTAGATGACATTTAAAAAAAATGATAGTATATCCTAACTCAGATATAATAAGTACCCGGACCAACAAAAAAGAAGATTTAATATTTTAGAGGCTATAATGGTAGAATAGGAAAATTCTTAATTATAAGAAAATTATTCTTCCTTGGGGAACAAAGAACTAAGACAATATCAGTTTATGGGCATTAGAGATAGCTCCAACTCCCAATGTCTAATTTAATAGATAGATAACTTGGATTCCCAATGTAAACATCATACTCAGCATTTCTCAGCAAATTAATGACAGATCAGGAAAATAACTCAAGATATTTTCTAGTTCTTAGAGCCAATGATCTTCAAACATTTTAGTTAATGTGCTATCTAAACAAAATTTGAAAAGCTGTGTATTTTAACTTATATATGCAACTTGCATATGTCTACCTTGTTAGCCATAATCCTTAGTATATTTATTTATTATTTTTAGGAGATGAAAAATGTTGTATTATCAAATTATATTATCACAAGCATATTGCATATTATTATATTTATGAGATAAAACAGTATAAGGATTTACTGTAATAGGAATGAATATTTCATATATTTACATAAAATTTTAACTACTTTATTGGCTAAAATACACCTGTAGAAATTATTTAAAATTTTTATCTGTGGACTGTATTCAAATAACCAAAAATCTGGAAGTCCTAACAAATACTCCAGTTACATTTAAAATAACAAATTTTATTATTCTACTTAAGACTTTGTCAATTTACTCTTAAACAAGGGCCAAATACCCTCTATCTAACACCAAACTTTACCCTAGCTATGAATATGTATATGGCAGTGCAAGATGAGATTTTAGGAGCTTTGATTAATTCTTAAAGGAGCCTTATGCAATATATAATTTGTATGCCTATGTTAGGAGCCCTGAGGTTGTTACACAGCAGTATACATTCTATGCTAAGATTTGTGATGGGTAACAGGTTAACACTTTTTTATATATGGGAGAACCACTGTGAAAAGAGGATGGGAAAATGTATTTCTGTAAAATTATCTGTGCAGGAGAACACTCAGACATATGCACATTCTAGTTTGAAGACCATTGTTTTAAGTTGCATTTCTCCAATTCACTTGAAAAAAAATAAAGCTTAGCACTGTAATTTACTTAGAGTTTAACAAGTTAGAAACTGGAAAGAGGTCCGCTGATAGAATCCCAATTTCTATACTCTTTTTGTTAAACCACTTTGTGAGTAGAAAATGGACACCTAAGATGAGGAAACTTTGCCAAGTGACTTTGGATTAACAGAAGGGGTTTACTTTTCACAATCATACCAGGAGCCTATACCCAGTGTATGTCAGAGATCATTTTTTAATACCCCCCTCCTCTATATGACAAAATTAGTTTTGGAAATAGTCATGAAATCACACAAATAATAAAAATGGCCTATGTATATTCATGTCAATAAAAATGTTAAAAAATAAAATAAACAATACAAAAAAATAAGGAAAAGTAATACATTAATACTTTTTGGACACTAACATATTTTTTTAAAAACCAGAAAAAGCTCTTTAAGTCTGTTCCAATCATGAAAGTAAAATAAAATCTCAAGACCCCCACTCACTATGCCAAAGGGAAAAGTTAAGTGTGGGGACTGAGTCTCACACAACTGCTTCCCATTTTGTTCTGGAATAGATAACCACAAAGATAGAAGGTACATACCATCTCAGAGGGCCCCTCTGAGGGGCCCTACAATTTTCTCATAGGAAATCTCTTATGGGCCCCAACATCCTCACGGTAAAATGGAGTTCTATTGAATTTCACCCTGAGAAAACAAATCAACAGCTTATTTACACAGCTACAGGACAAAGGCAGAACTAGAAGTCATCCCTCCATTCACCAGAGGCAAATGCATGTTTGACTTCTTCCTCTACTCTATGTTTACTTAATCTTATATAAAAATAGAGATTCACTAAGCACTAGGCAAACAATAGTTAACTATTCCTCCACCCACTTCTTTCACAGGTAAAATGTAAATTCAGTGAAATTGATCAAAGCTTCAAAAGAATGCAACTGCTTGCTTCTATTATTTACCTTCCCCTTTTTGTTCTTCCCTTTTCCCTCTACTGCCCACTCTTTTCTCTTTAAATATTGTGTCCCCAAACCCTTTTTGGAAAAAGCATGAATCACAGATATTTCTGTAATTTTGTTTCTTTTCCCTAGGCTCATCCTCAACCTTGGCAAAATAAACCTCAAAAATGATTGAGGCTTGCCTCAGTCATTTTCTTTGGTTTTACACAGAAATAAATAACAACATTGTGTTTCCATTTTTAGCCTTTCTTTGTGAATATTTGTCAATGACTTCATCAAAATTAATTTTATCCATGTATTCATGTTCCATAGCACAGCCAGATTATTCTTACTTGTAGTTGATTAAAGAATACTTATTAATTTTAGTTTTTAAAGGTTCTTTTCACATGAAGCAATGGTTGTACAAACAGAAAGACAAACTCCTAAGAATACAACTGGCAAAAATTCATAAAAAGTCACATTTCACAAAAATTCCAGAAATTGTAATAATATTTTGTGACTTGATTCTTTGATATCAATTCTAGTGCTTTTCAAATGTCTTTGTGTCTAAAATTTTCACTAAAATATCTTTATCACAAAATTCATCAAAAATTTCTATTCATTTGATGAAAAACTTCAGAATTTTATTTCTTCCACTAAAATCAGAAATAATGACTGAATATAGTGACTATTGATGCTATTTGATCCATTGTTTATGAGTAACTCAGGTACTGGGTCTTCATGTTTATCATCACTGTGAATTTTTTGTTTATTTCAAATTTGTTTGATGCAAGAAAAAAATTGTTCAAGGATTTTCAACTGAAGGTAAAAATCATTGCTTCTCATATAAATATAAAGACATATTAAAGGTTTTATTAGTTACAGAATGGTAAGATGTTAAAATTTGTTCAAAGAAGAATACAAAAGGCAAACATTGTTCCTCATTTTCCTTTTCCACAAAATTATCTGTAAAATGTACATTTCCTATAAATATGAGAAATGGATCTGTTTCAGCAGGACTCAAATAAGGCCTGAGTCAGGCATCAACTTGGATTTTAGAGGAAACTTACTCATTTGGGTCATATAATTTGGAGAAGTACATTTAGAACCACTAATATGCACAAGAAGGAAAGATTTGATAATCGATTACCAGATGTTAAGTTGTTTAAACAAAATTAATATATTTTTATTGTTATTTTCTTCTACTAGGCTTGTACCTGGTGGGTTAAAGAGTAAGGCAAATTCTAGCTGAGCAAGGTTTTTGAAAGGAGAACTTAGAAGAGTTTTGAAGTTCAAATTAAAATTGAAAATAAGCCAGATGCAGTGGCTAATGCCTGTAGTCCCAGCACTTTGGGAGGCCAAGGCAGACAGATTTGTTGAACTCAGGAATTTGAGACCAGGCTGGGCAACATGGTAAAATTCTGTCTCTAAAAAAAATTCAAAAATTAGCTCTGCATGACGGTGCACACCTGTAGTCCCAGCTACGTGGGGGGCTGAGGTGGGAGGATGACTTGAGCCCAGATGTTCAATACTGCAATAAGCCATGTTTGTGCCAATGCACTCCAATCTGGGCAACATATTGAGATCCTGTCTCAAAAAATAAAATAAAATTGAAAATAAACTCAGTGGAAAACATTTTTGTTTTATGCAAAACAGTATCTCTTGAAATAAAAATTTTCTTCCTTGGTCCCAGCATTGTTAGGCTTTATTAAATTTAATTCACGTATATAAATTATTCTCATGATCTCAAATATTATTAATATAATTTTTAAAAGCTTAACAATATTTTAAGATGCCCTCCTATTTGACCTTTTTGGAGATTGTATTCATTCCTCCCACATGTACAGGTATTGATCGACTTACGACCTATGCAACATACGACCATTCTACTTTATGACCACAATCGCTAGCCACGACTGCTCCGCATCTGGCAGCACAAACGTTGCCCAGCTGGGCGTACGACAGTGCGGACCAGCTTCCGGCAGCACTACCATCTCCGCGTGCACCATTTCAACTGTACATATAGCCTACTCAACTTATGGCCAGATCGTGTTACGACCGGTCTGTTGGAACCAATCGTGGTCGTAAGTCGAGCACTAGCTGTATAGTAATTCTTTTATTTCTCTGCATAATCATTTTGCATATAATCAGATGAACATGTGTCAGGGAGTACTGCCTCTGCCTGTGCAAGGTTTCACGGTTGTAGGAGCAGATTTTTGGAAACCTGTCAGTCAAGGGGAGTTGGAAACCTGGAGTAGCTTGAAGGTATATGGGGTTTACACTGCGCTTCTGCCAAAATCTTTTGCTGATGTAAACTCTTAATTCCTTAAAGATCCAAGAAATATTTTTGACCAAGAAAAGCAAGGTTATTAGATGTACTGTGGTTAGACAGAATACTACCATGACAGACGACTAAGAGTGCCTTGGAATCAGGAAGTCAGAGGTGGTTATATACATATACAGAGTTTTAGGACCTGGACTGGCTTTGCAAGGATCAGAGCCAGTTAAGTAAGCTATAATATAGATATTGACTATGAAAACAGTTTTTCATTTCTTATAGGGTATGTAATGTTGGCTTGAGGTTGTTTCTCTATTTTTGTGTTTTGTGTATGCTCTACCTTGTTTAAGAAAGGATTTAATATGACTTGAATTTGAAAGAAAAACTATATGTATATATTGTGAGGGCGATGGATATTGGCCCCCTAAAGATTTGCTGAAAAATTAGTGACATGAGGCAGATTGATTAATAGAAGAAAAGGCTTATAATGATATTTAATGTGTATACACATGAGCCTTCAGAATGAAGCCCAACATGCCAAACGGAGACAGAGGCTTATTTACCATCTTCAGATTACAGGAAGAATGCAGGCTCAGAGAACTGCCAAAAGTAAGTTTTAATGGCAAGACAGGTTATATAGGTTATAGAAGGGAGAAAGGAAGAGGCTTGACTGGCAAGGGTGACCTTGCTATAGAGAAGACTTCTTCAGAGAGGAGAGATGGCAAATGTCTCTTTTTAGACTTTTAAAGGTGTTAGAATCTCAATCTCTCCTACACCTAGCAAATGTCTCGCAAGAGGAGGCCTGGCTGAATTAATGGACGTATTCTACAGATGCACATTTTCCTCATAAAAGACATATAGACATAAAAGACACCTCTGCAAGGCCACTTCTGTTATCGACCCTGTGGCAGCCATTTCCAAATATGTCAAAAAATATATTTTAGAGTAAATATTTTTATTTCCTTCTCTCTCTCCCTCTCTTTCTATATGTATATGTATATACATATATACACACACATATATATACATATATATTTATATATTAAACAAGATAAGATAATATAAAGGAAAATGAAAACAAAATCTGCTACACAAAACAGGTTCAGGCATGACACACAAACCACATATCCCTTATACTTACCAAGAGTGGAATATACTTTCTGTTCTATGCTTTTAGCAGTCAATTCAAGTAGACAACATTTGTTCAGTTTCAAAATGTATAATAACCAAAACATGAAAGCCCTGATCATGTTTGTAAAGGAATGGAAGGCATGCAAATAAAAAACCATATGGAATGGAAGGCATGCAAATAAAGAACCATATGGAATGCAAGGCAAAATTGCTCCACAAGATAAGAGAATTAGAAAGTGATACAGTCGTCAAGTTAAATAGATTACTTCTGCTTTGGTTGCCAGAATGAGTCATTTATTTAAAAAATACTTAACACTCACTATATCTCAGGCAGCTGTCTAAAAATGTTAAGAAAAACAATTAATGCAATCATTAAAACAACACTTTGAGGCGGGTTATATTAATATATATAGATTTTACAAGAGAAGAAACTTAAGTCACAGGGAAATTTTAAAAATTTGTTAAGTTATACCAGTAAGTGGTTGTAACAATTAGAACCTAACTGGAGAAAAAGAATCACCATGAATGACAGAATAAAGGGCTTTTTTCTAGGGATTAAGCCCCACTTTGTTGCACTAGCTGGTTAAGCAGTATTTCTAAGTTTTTTGCCTGCTTCTAGTGCTGGGACTGAAGTCAGAAGGGCCAGCAGTTATAAGGGAAAATAGATATGAAGTGGGGGAAACATACAAGCTAGAAATTTAGGTCTCTTTTTCACTACCTCCAATTTTGATAGTGTGAGTGACATGTAGGATAGCTGTCATCTTTACCAGGTTGCACTCTTACCTAACCTAGTATTTGAAGAAGCTGAAGAAATAGGTCACAAAAGAGCTGGAGGAGCTGTGGTCTCAGCTGCTGCCTGATATCAGCAAGTTGAGTCAGTAGATGGATGTGTGTGAGCTACCACAACTCCTACCCAACAGTGAAATTCACATATATACAAGATGGGAATGCTGGGAAATGTAGTTCTAATTTAGCTAAGCCGACTCAGGACAAGGCCATATACAGGAAATTTGACTCCTAAATGCACTCTTAATAATTCCACCTCTTCCTTTAAATTGAATCTTGAAGCTCCATTACGTGACATCCAGATCAAGGTCTGGGGCATAGTCTAGGTAAATGAAACCACATGTTCAAAACCAAGATTAATTGCAAATGGGTCAAAGACCTCTTAGGAATCAAATTTTGCTTAAATGTCTGGCAAATAAGGAAGAGTGTAGAAGATAAGAAGAAGCTAATAGAATCTAAATGTTGGTCTCTGTCTTCTAGATAATTACTAGTTTTCATTATTCTAACTATTGCCTTCATTCCTGCTAATAGGTTCCAAACAGATGCTGTAGCCAAATTTGGTGTTATTATTTTCTTATGGCACATTGTATCCAAAGTCCTCCATCTTCAAGAAATTACTGCCAATTCCACTGATTCTAGAGAAGCTACTGATTTTGTTGCAAGTCACCAAAACTTCAGCATTGCAGAATTTATCAGGAACAAAGGTTTTTATCTCAACAATAGCACTTTGTTGGACTGTGATTTTTTTGGAAAGCCATGCAGCCCAAAGGTAATGATTTGCTATTTCTTCAACTACAATCAAAGTAATAAATTCTTTTACTGTACTGTTTCACATTGAGCTCCCACAGCATTTACTCCCATGGTGAATCAATCCAAATTTGCTTAAAGATTCTATTTCACTAGCTCAGCCTTATGATATCGGGGGTATGGAATACACATGAGACAAATTTCCTCTTTCAAGCAGTTAGATAAGGAGAGAAAGAAAAGAGAAAACTTTATTGCATTTCTTGTAGTATAGTCCTTCCAAAAGAAAAACAATTTAACACAAAAGGATATTTTAATTTTTTTCATTCATCAACAAACAACCTATTCCAACATAGCATTTTTGTACTCACCAAGTATCCATCACTCTGGTTTTATTCTTTCGGTATTGCATTAGAGGCTATAGAAAACAAGAGGACTCCAGCATTTAACTATGAACATTATATACACTATAATTATATATTATATATAGTAACACAATTATATATAATATACATTCACTCATAACAAATACAAATATAAAACAAATACATAACAAATATGAAATAATGTTATTATTGTTTATAAAATTAATCTACATTTAAGATAAAGTACTAGATATATCTGTAACCTATTAATAAGGAAGTATGTAGGCAATTTGATGCCATATTTCTTGTATCAGCAATTCTGTAGCCTGGGTTGTTAGGGGAGTCTAAGTAAACCACAAATTCTTGGTTCTGGGTTACAATTTATCTTTTTGGTAGGCCATCTTAGCACACAGTAAGCAGTAAAGTAATGCCTAAGAGACACTTCACAGAGGTGAGGTTTTGGTCTAAACTGTTAATTTGGAAAATAAGCTTTCCTATGCTGTTTTTATTTACCAACATGTTTAACTTACCATCAAGAAATTTCGTGTTAGGGATAACTTTTTCAGTTGCATGTTACAGAATCCCATTTCTGTTACAGTAAGCTGAAGTGTAAAAGAATGAGTCGGCTTAATTAAGTGGGAACTCCAAGAGTAGATCTGGCTTCAGAAAATGCTAAACTAACGGACTCCAAGACCATCTTTAACATTCTGACTTTGTTTCCACCTCATAATTCTGGTTGGCTTCTTTCTGTATGAGTTCTCCCCATACTTTGCCAGAATGGCTGCTGATTCCCCCTAGACTTTCATTATCAGAGTTTAGCACTCCAGTATCCACTTAATAATCTCACTGAAGACTCTGATTAGTTCAACTTGGGACATATATCAATTCTTTCTTTTTTTGAGACAGAGTTTAGCTCTTGTTACCCAGGCTGGAGTGCAATGGCGCGATCTCGGCTCACCGTAACCTCCGCCTCCTGGGTTCAGGCAATTCTCCTGCCTCAGCCTCCTGAGTAGCTGGGATTACAGGCACCCGCCACCATGCCCAGCTCATTTTTGTAGTTTTAGTAGAGACGGGGTTTCACCATGTTGACCAGGATGCTCTCGATCTGTTGACCTCATGATCCACCCGCCTTGGCCTCCCAAAGTGCTGGGATTACAGGCGTGAGCCACCGCGCCCGGCCCTATATATCAATTCTTGAACCAACCACTGAGGCAAGATGGTGAGGTTTAAGCTTGGCCCAACTTGTGTCCCATGCATGCCTCTGTAGTGGCTGGAAAAGGAGGGTCAAGGGAACGGAGTTATGTGATTGACTGCTACCCTGAGCATGCAGGTTGCAGAAGGCATAGCCCCTCCAAGAAAGGATGCTGAAGTAGTGCTCCACAGGGAAAAACATGTTTCCATACCTCTTCAGGAAAATGTAAAACAAGTAATTTTTTAAAATGTTGTGAAATACATGCTTAATTTTATGTGAAAATGTCTCCTTTAAATAATCACATGCAAGCTGACAAATGCGTATTACCATAAAAAAGAAAACTATCACTGAATATACATATAAATCAGACTATCTCTCTGATATTTCTGCAGTCTTGTTAGATATTTGTACTTTTGAAGAAAAAGTTATAGAAATTAAACTTTAGAAGTGACAAAAATATCAAATTGATGCGTTTTTTTTTTTTTTTGGTTTATTTATATATTGGAGGATTTTGCACATGTCTTCACTGAATATGGAAATTGTTTTACTTTTAATCACGGTGAAACTATCCAAACAAAGAGAAAAGTGAGTGTCTCTGGAAGAGGCTTGCGCTTGCTCTTCAATGTGAATCAGGTACTGAATTTTCTTCAACCTAGCCAGTTTAAAGAAAAACAAGAATGGGTGGTGGTTTCAAAAAATTTGATCAGGTTATTTTGCCATGTCAGATGGCTCCTACACATTGGATATTTTTCAACTTTTGTGAATTTAGTCTAGACTCCTATGGATTTTATATAATTATTGACTCAGAAATTAAACAGGCAAATTTTAAGGCATAAACTGCAGATTTTTAGCTATCCTACTGACTTAAATTACTGTGACTCCAGGAAATGTTTATGCCACAAAGTAAGGAAACCCAGAGATCCTAAGTTGCAATGTATATAGATATTTTAAGAAAACTCTATGCATTTAACAATAATTTTAGAACTATGTTTATGTAAGTATGACAATATGTTTTAGAAAAAAACTCTACATATATATATATGACAAACCATAGAATGTATATCTGGAAAAGTGATAGAAAATCTAATTGTTATACGAAGAATATTACACAAATAGACTGTCCTACCCTAGCTTTTGGAAAGCTGTAATGGACCTAATAAGTTCTAAGTGTTTAGCCCTGGGAGGCAGATGTTCAAACATCTAAGTAATGCAGTGGTGTTATCTTCAAGGGTTCCTGGTATAGCTCCCACCCTAGGTTAATTCTGACCTTCTGTCTTGCATAACCACTTCTAGTATTACACATTTATGGCAATCTACTTTACTATCATGGTTTTATAAATGACGATTCTGAAATGCTGATGAATTAAGTATCCAAAAATCATACAATTAATGACAAAAACGAAAAATAAACTTGGCGTACCTGCACTCACCTCCCAATCCAGGTGAATGATGCCATTGGCTACTTTTAAAGAATTTTTGGTAAGGTACTCTTCACAGCTTCCTTTTGTATCCCATTCAAGATATTTTTCTTTCTGTCCAAACATAGCACTGCCAACGTTAATGAATATACCTACTCATACTTGTAATGTATTTGATTAATACTTTTGACTCATTCATGTATTAGCCATATGGTCAGTTCAAACATTATCAAATTTTTACAAACTAGAATTTTCCAAATATTTTAGAATGCAATGAAAATCTACAAATTCAATGCAATGTCTCATAAGTAAATAACACTGACATATTTCTCCAGACTAGGCAGTTAAGTGTTTCTTAGAGGGTTATAAAAGGGCCAGGAGAAACAGAGTTCTGAATTACAAATATAATATTTATTGTTTATTAAATTTAATTACATATGCAGTTGACCAGTTCACAGATTATATTCTTTATATTCTTAAGCCTGTATCTTCTCCCTATAGCTTAAAATTATAACTAATGACAAAGTTACCAGCAGTTTAGTCTTAAATTTCTTCATCTAAGATTTATTAAAAAGAACATAAGTGTTAAAGAGATAGTGTAAATTTTCACGGTAATGGGAAAATGAATTTGAATTTTACATAAGGTCAGGGGTTTTAATTGCAAAATAAACGGGGTAAAATGATTTTCTAAGCAAATGAGTCAAAGAAAACAGCCAAGAAGGAAGCAAGTATAAAACACCTAGGTGAACAGAAGACCAGAGGAAACAAGATAATTAACAGTAATTGTAAATACTTACCTGCACCTATCTAAGATGAAATGTGATCTATGGAAAACTATAGAGGTCTTGAGCTATGATTTATCAATTGAGAAAAACAGTGAGACAAGTCTCAATCATTTTAGGAGGTTTATTTGCCAGAGTTAAGGACGGGTGCCCATGGTACAACCTCAGGAAGTCTTGAGGTAGTCCAAGGTAGTCAGGGCACAGTTGGTTTTATGCATTTTAGGAAGACATGAGATATCAATTAATATATCTAAGAAGTGCATTGGTTCTATCCAGAAAGCTGGGGACAACTTGAGGCAGGGAGGGGGCTTCAAGGTCACATATAAGTGAAAGAAATTTGGTTGCATTTTTTTTTTTTAGTTCCTGATAGGCCTTTTCAAAGGAGGCAGTCAGAATGTGCATCTATCTCAGTGAGCAGAGAAATGACTTTGAATAGAATGGGAGGCAGGTTTGCCCTGAGCAGTTCCCAGTTTGAAGGGGCCCAAGATAATTCCCTTTCACATTCCCTCTTCGCTTTTAAAAAAATCTTTAGGAGAAAGTATTTTCGGAGAACATGAGTCTCTGGTCTTAGGTTTCTTCTGATTTCTCATGGATAGGACGGTTTATTACTAGACGGGTAGGTCCCAAATGCTGATTTTTGGCAGATTGTGAAGTCTTCCATGTTCTATGAAGAGAAAATAGGAGGAGGACGGGAGAGAAACAACAAGAAATGAAAGAACAATCCTAGAAAAATTAATAAAGGCTACATTACTTTGAAGTCCATACATCAGTAAGGCAGGTATGAAAAGTGGCTGATGTATGAAAATAGGTTGCTATTACTTTCTTCTGAAGTTTAAGTTGTCTGGCTTCAGTTTGCAGGGCTTTAAGAAAGCACAGCTTAGATTTTAGTGATCCAAATTAGGAACAATGGGGGAATAAAGAAAGAAAAAATTAGAAACATTATTTTGAAGACTCGTAGCCAAGAAAAATTAGAATTTGGTTCAAACTATAGAAAATAACAAAAATTGAAAAACACTGGTCAAGACTATAATCTAACAATATATGTACTACACTTTTTGAAACATAATTTTTCTCTCTTCACTTTCCCATTTTTGCCAAATACAAATCATGATAGGACAATTTTGCTTTATTTTACTTCATCAAATTATTTGTATATAGTGCAGGGAGAAGTTATTTTTAACATAGGCTTTTAAATTGCCTTTGGTGGCACCTTGTTCCATAGAAGAAATCTCAGATAAGATTTTTTTAAAGCTGAGCCCAGCTATGGATTTGTGCCATCAAATATCTATGATGGATAAATTTCCTCTCCACTTGAGGTTCCAAGGTAAACCTGGAGCTTCTGGGCCTTTCAGAAAGTGATATCCTTTATGTACCCCAGGGCAGAAACCCTGGATGGGGACCCTGTACACAAAATATGAGGTCAGTTTTTCCAAGGAAATTATTGGTTTCATGAGTCAAGTTTGATTCCTTAAAGGAAAGCACACCATTTGAGTCAAAGCATTGGTAAAATAACCAGTTTCTCCAACCGTGTCCTGTTACAAATGAAAACAGATTATTTTTTTAAGACTGAGTCTCACTCTATTGTCCAGGCTGGAGTTCAGTGACACAATCTTGGCTCACTGCAACCTCCGTCTCCCAGGTTCAAGCAATTCTCCTGCCTCAGCCTCCTGAGTAGCTGGGATTACAGGCATGCACCACCACAGGTGACTAATTTTTGTATTTTTAGTAGAGATGAGGTTTCACCATGTTGATCAGGCTGGTCTATGAACTCCTGACCTCCTGATCCGGTCACCTAGGCCTCCCAAAGTACTGGGATTACTGGTGTGAGCCACTGCATCTGGCCATCTGAAAACAGATTTTTATTGCACTTATGCTAATAACTGTATTTTCCATAAATTAAGAATACTCACAAATAGTTTCCAAATTCTGGAGAAATCAGGCAGAGAAATAAAATATGCTCTACGTTTTGTTCATAGGAGAATACTAAATTGTTAAAAGCTATCAGCAGCTCAAGACAAAATAAGACTCTGAAAAACGAAACAAAGGATCAGCAAATATTTTAAGTAAAAAGTCAAAAAGATGAGTTCAGTACATGCAGTTAATTCCTGTTCTGCTTAATACTCATGAACATTTTAGCTCTCAATGAGTCATGAAAGTTTTTCCTCTTTTCTGATGTTACCATCTCTAAAGTTATCAAAGCCTGCATTTAAGAGCACCTGTTAGAATTTTATAGCTGATTATAAAACCACCTTCTAAAGAGGACCAAAACGTGACAACAATTGTTCATGGATGATAATAAATTTTAGGGAAGCCATGATCAAAGACACAATTGACAAGGAAATTTGTTACCTTGATGGCACACAATAATTTTAATATAAAGATTATTATTATTATTGATAATATATACAGTCATATCAGAATTAAGGCGTTTCCCATAATTCTGAAATACATACAAATAGCATATTTATAAAAATACAGCCCAAAGAAAACCAAACACCATTTCATATTTGATAATGCTTCCTGTATAGTTTTTATACCAAATAAGCCAAATTATGTAATTTTTGGACTTCAGGAAAGCTAATATCTTAAACGATTAATTAGGTTAGAAGACATAATTTATAATTTGATTTCAGAAAGACTGTCAAATATCAAAGGTTTAAAGCACTTGATATTATGAAATAGGATTAAGGATCATTATAAAGTCATTCATTTAACCAAAGTGGTAACTCAAGGATTTTTTTTTAAAAAAAGGAACACCTTCATTCTTTGAGAGCGGAGACTTAATTTTCCAAATAAGAACCCCTACTAAAAACAGCATAAAGCCAATTATATTAGTTATTCAAAATTTTGTAAACAATCTATAAAATTTAATCTTTATCATAAATTATAAGTTCCATAAGTCTTTTTATAACCTTTCTGACCTTTAATTAAGGAGTTGGTTAATGCGTCAAGAAAATCTTGTTAATCTGACACAGGAGTCCATATGCTGGTTTTGCATTAGTGTGCCTTTGACATTCATGATTAATTTATAGAGAAACTGAATTTATTTTGTCTCTTAAAATCAGCCATTACAATCTCACATACT